GACATGAGGCGGGGATATGGGGCATGAGACGTGGGAGGGGGACATGGGACATGGAGCCGGGATATGCCGTAGGGATACGGGGACATGGGGCAGGGGCATGGGTCATGAAGTGGGATATGGGACGTGCGGCAGAGGCCATGAGACAGGACATGGGACATGGAGCGGGGCCATGATGCAGGGGCATGGTCATGGCACATGGGGTATGGGGAAGGAGAGTGGAGCAGGGAACATGGGGTGAGATATGGCATATGAAGCAAGGAGCAGGGACATAGGACTTAAGGTATGGAATTTGGGGCAGGGGCATGTTATGGGAGTGTGAGGGGCTGTGAGGCAGAGGGCTGTGGTGTGGGGCAAGGCTAATGCTGCAGGGACATTGCACATTGCAAAAAGCCCCATGTGTGGAGATAGGATTTAGTCTGCTAGAGAAAAAAAGCTGAAATGGAGCCTTCTCTTCTCCAGGCTGCCCCAGCCCAGCGCTGTCAGCCTGGCTCCAGGGCAGAGCTGCTCCAGCCCACACAGAATCTCTGTCGCCTTTTCTGGACTCTCCAACAGCTCCACGTCCTTCTTGTGTTGCTGCTGCAGAACTGGACCAGGACTGCAGGGGAGTTCTCCCCAGAGCACAGCAGAGGGGGAGAATCCCCTCCCTCGACCTGCTGCTCACGCTCTGGGCATGCAGCCCAGCACACGGGGGGGTTCTGGGCTCAAGCACACACTGAAGATGGGTCATGAGGAGCTCATCAACCAGCCCACAGAAGTCCTTCTTCTCTGGGCTTCTCTCAGTCCATTCTGTGCACAGCTTTTATCTGTGCCTGGGATTGCTCTGACGTATGTGCAGGACCTTGCACTTGCCCTTGTTGAAATCCATGAGGTTCACACTCCATGAGATGTCTCACCAGGCACTAAGGTGAGACTGACTTGTTGTTCCCAGGGTCTTCTTTTCTTCCCTTTTTAAAAATGGGGGCTATATTTCCCCCTAATGTTTTGAAGGGTTTAACTAGGGTGATGCAAGGATGCTGGAAAGTAAGTAAGCATCAGGGATTGTAGTGATAGGACAAGGAGTAATGGTTCAAGTTTGAACAGGAGAGATTTAAAAAGAATAAAAGATAGAGAATAAGGATAAAGAGAAGATATTCTTCCCTGTGAGGGTGCTGAGGTGCTGGGACAGGGTGCTCAGGGAAGCTGTGGCTGCCCCATCCCTGGCAGTGTTCAAGGTCAGGTTGGACACAGTTTCTTGGAGCAACCTGCTCTAGTGGAAGGTGTCCCTGTCTGTGGCAGGGGTTGGAACTGGATGGTCACTTCCAACACAAAACATTCCGTGATTCCATGATTCTGTGTGGTTTTGTGGTGTATTTTCCTATAAGGAGCACAGCATCAGTATGGATTTATGTAAGCAGCGATGTACAAGCAATTCAAATGTCAGGTTTTACTCTATAACTTCAAAATATGGTTTACTCGTGTTGATGAAGGGCCCTACATGCCTTTGTTTGTAATTTGCCCAATGATATACATGAAATATTCAACTCCGTCAAAACCCGACATCCCCTCAAACCATTCGAGTCACGCTCCACTACACATCCCGGAACTACAAATCCCATCAGCCCCTGCGGCGCGCGGGAGACGCCGGGAGGTGGCGGGAAGCTCAACATGGCGGAGGGTGCTGCTACCCCATGGGAGGAGAAGCTGCAGCGGGTAATGGTGGGGCCGGGGCGCGCGTCCCCTGGGACGGGGTTACCGGAGGTACATGTCTGTGCGCCAGGACCAGTTGTCGGGATTCCTCCCGGAGCGGTCGGCCGGCCCCGGTGCGTTATTGGAGTCCTCGTCCAGCTCTCCCGAGTGCGGCTTCTTCATCCTTCTCACAGGAGGCAGTGCAACCTGTGCTGTGAGAGGTGCCGGGCCCCGGCGCTCGGACGTCTGCGGGTCTCGGGCAGGAACGAGCCCTTTTCAGCGTCGTGGGGCAGGGAAGGCGCGGTCTCGGGGTGTGTTTTGCAGCAGTGAGGTCTGTATTCATCCGCTGCTACCCGGTCAGTGGCAGCCCGAGCTCACAGCTTTAGGTGTGAGCTGGTTTGGGAGGCTAATCATAGAATCACATCATCAACCAGGCTGGAAAAGACCTTTAAGATCTTCAAATCTAGTGGTCCCCCAGCGCTGCCAAGGCCACCGCTAATCCATATCACCAAGGGCCTCGTCTACACGGTGTGTGAACACTTCTAGGGACGGTGACTCCACCACTGCCGTGGGCAGCCTGTTCAAATGCCTGAGCACCCTTTGGGGAAGGAATTGTTCCTAAGTTCTGAAAGTCTTGCATGCCTGAAGTTTTTAGTGTGTCAAGCCTTTCTCACTAAAGGGACTGGCAGAAAAATGTAATTCATTATTTATTTGCAAACTTGGCTTTCTTGCAGTATGAGAGTTTTCACCTACACAAAATTAGTGCTCTTTGCTTCTAAGGCCTTGATGGTTTTCTCCCCAGCTTAGTTTAGGGTGATGTTTTCTGTGTGCCATGTAGTGTAGCTGAGATGCTGGTGTGGTAGAAGCATAAAGAAGGACATGCTGGAAAGAAAATTGTAAGGCTGGGTCCCTTTCCGTCACATTGCTTAGATAACCTTAGACAAGAACTTATGTTTCCTCAGTGTGTTTGGGTTAAAGGGACCTTGAAGCTCATCCAGTTCCAACCCCCTGCTACAGGCAGGGACACCTTCCACTAGAGCAGGTTGCTCCAAGACCTGTGTCCAACCTGGCCTTGAACACTGCCAAGGATGGGGCAGCCACAGCTTCTCTGGGCACCCTGTGCCAGCGCCTCAGCACCCTCACAGGGAAGAACTTCTTCCTAAGAGCTCATCTCAATCTCCCCTGTGTCAGGTTACAGCCGTTCCCCTTGTCCTGTCCCTACAGGCCTTTGCCCAAAACCCCTCCCCAGGTTTCCTGTAGCCCCTTTAGGCACAGGAGCTGCTCTAAGGTCTTCCCTTAAGGAGGCTTCTCTTCTCCAGGTGGAAGCAGCCCAGCTGTCTCAGCCTGGCTCCAGAGCAGAGCTGCTCCAGCCCTCGCAGCATCTCCGTGGCTTTCTCTGGACTTGTTCGAACAGCTCCCTGTCCTTCTTATGCTGGTGGCCTCAGAGCTATTATTAACAGTTATAATTAAATCTTTCAATTATTATTTTATTAATCTCTTTCCCATTTCTGACCTTCATTTCAGAGGTAGGCACTATGCTTTGCAGGGCTCATGACTGCACTTTGTAGTAACTGTTTCTTCCCTACTAGCCTGTTGAGACTATTCTCAATGCTCTATCAGGGTTAGGGCAGTTTTATCCCATGCCACTCTAATGCTGTTTTTACCAGCTGCCTAAATACCTGTTTACCATCTTTTGGATTATTACTGTGTCTGTATAAAGAGGTCATGTCAATAAAAAGATAAAATTTTATCATGTGGTGATAAACAGGTGTCCAGAGAAATGAGGGAGGTTAAAAGGGAAATGGTTTTCTAAATTACAGAGGGTGATTGAAGAAGAGACAAAGGGCACCACCCACACCTTGACTGATGTAGTGGGTTATTCTTCAGGAATGCAGAGCCTGCAGCACTTTTTATGTTTCTTAGCTCCATCAGGTATTTTCTCTCATTTCACTTCACTGTTTACTCTTTTTTTTCCCTCTGGTAGGTTACTACATGGCTAAAGAAAGTATTTGGGAATCGACCTGTTCCACACTATGAAGTGAATGAGCAGACAGTTGATATCTTATGTAAGCTTGCAGAATACAACGAAGCCAGAGACAGGGATGTTTCTTTGGTGATAGAGGGTTTGAAGGAGTGGTCAAAGGAATATAAAGCAGAAGGTGAGTTTGAAGCTCCAGTTCTCAGTTTCATCAAAGTTATTCTTAGTAACCCTGAAGATTGTTTAAATCTTGCAAGCATATATATATACACACATACACACAGAACTGAAATGAACTCATCTTTTGTTCTGGTACAGTTTTTACTACAGTGCATCATATGCCTTCCTTTCAGCAAAATTTATGGTGACATAAGATTGGTCAAGAGCAATCTTTTAAGCCATGTTTAGCATGCTGCTAATACAGCCAAGGAGTTTAATTGCTAAAACCTCCTGCCTTGCTGGGCTGAAAAGCACAGCATTGAAATATTGGCTGGATAGGCAGAGAAGCAACCCTACAGCTGATTTAAGAGTCTGAGCTGGTGCTAAGCCACTGTTAAGGAGAACACCTGGGGAATCTGAAATGACAATAAGTTATGCTTGAGCTACCTAGGGTGAATGTTTGATAATGTGGGGGTTTTGGAGCAAGTGAGTGGTTCAGGGGACTGTAATATTTTTTTAACGCATGTGCTAAAGGATTGTCCCTTCACTGGCTTTTTTCAGGAAGGAATTTTACGTCTCTGTGAAGAGACTGACATTGTACACACGAAGATGTTTTTGTAAAAATCCTATATGTTTGGGGTTTTTTTTTACTTCAAGTCTTCTAGTGTGTTGCCATCAAACAAATGATGATGGAGGCCCAGTGGTTGGTTTAGCCTGTCAGGGAACATGGACATTACCAGACAGGCATATGTATTACCCCTGCTGCAAATTCAGACTTCCCAGGTCTGCTGTGAAAAGCAAGTTCATGCTCAGGAAAGGCTTAGATTGGGCTCTGCAGGGAGAAGACTCATGTGTGCTCATTAACACTGCACAAGGGTGAACTCGTGTTTGAGTGAATTAAAACAGGCTGGTCAGGAAGGAGTGGAGCAGTGCAGCGCTTTCTTCTTCAGCTCGCTGAGTTTGTTTGACAAGCAAGGGTGTGGCAGCAGTTTGGTATGTTGAAGCCTTCTTTGAAGATGTCTCTTTCCGTAATAGTGGAGAAATAGCCGAAGTTCATAGAATCACAGAATGATTTGGGTTGGAAGGGACTTTAAAGCTTGTCTAGTTCCAATCCACCAAGCCACCTTCCACTAGACCAAATGGCTCAAAGACTGGGTTCTAGCTTTGAAGCTTTATTACCCTTAAAAGAACAGTAATATTAAAAAACAAAATTAATACTTTGAGTTGTATTTGTTTTCCAGCTAAGTATCTAGAGCGCCTTCTCTCAGAAGAGCTGGGTCTTTCCATATACAAGCTATCCAGGAAAGGCACCATATACCTGGATGTCCTGGTAAGCAGCGCAATGACACTTGAAACGAAGGACACTTCTCTTGCCAGGTAATTTTTCCTACTGTGCATCAGGGGTGATGGTCTGTGCTGTTTCCCTCTGTTTTTTCAATTCAATAGTTGCAAACTTGACATTCACACCCAGGAATCTTACTTGTCCAGCTTATTTTTCACCCCTTGGGCAGCTCTAGAGGACATTGTAACTCAGCACAAAACTCTAACCTTGATTATCTGGGGAAGGGAAAGTCTCTGTAGCCTATGTGCTTTGGCAAGAGATAGATGCCTCTTGGGAAGAAGGATTGCACTTGGGAAGGGGAAGTGCACTGGTACTGCACTTGTGCCACAACAACCCCAGGCAACACTCCAGGCCTGGGGAAGAGTAGCTGGAAAGCTGCTCATGGAAAAGGACGTGGGTGTGCTGATTAATGGAGCTGAACGTGAACAGCTTGTGCCCAGGCAGCCAAGAAGCCACCAGCATCCTGGCCTATATCAGCAATAGTGTGGCAGCAGGACCAGGGCAGTGATTGTCCCCCTGCACTGGGCTCTGGTGAGGCCATACCTCAAATCCTGTGTTCAGTTCTGGGGCCCTCACTACAGGAGAGACATTGAGATGCTGGAGTGGGGCCAGAGAAGGGCACTGGAGCTGGTGCAGGGCCTGGAGCACAAGTGTGATGAGGAATGGCTGAGAGACCTGAGGGGTTTAGTCTGGAGAAGAGAAGGCTCAGGGAGGACCTTATTGCTGTCTACAACTATGTGACAGGAGGATGGAGTGAGGTGGGGATTGGTCTCTTATCCCAAGTAACAAGTGACAGGACAAGAGGTAACTGGCTCAGGCTGCATCAGGGGAGGTTTAGACTGGATATTGGGAACAATTTCTTCACCAAAAGGGTGGTCAAGCATTGGAACAGCTTGCCCGGGGCAGTGGTGGAATCACCATCCCTGGAAGTGTTCACAAACCATGTATTGGTGAACTTGGCAGTCCTGGGTTAACCGTTGGATTTGATGATCTTAAAGGTCTTTTCCAACCCAGTTGATTCTATGATTGTGTGATGATTCTTTTGCCTGTGCTTTTGCGGTCAGTGACTGTAGGATGTTGCTCACACTGTTGTGGCAGGTAGCACAAGCTAGAGCAGCGTTCATACTTCTTAGGCAAGGGCTGGGGAACTGGAAGTCCTGGTCTTTCAGGCTCAGCTCCTCATTCTTCCCTCTTATGTGGCTTCACTTAACATAAGGATATTTCCTTAGCCACAGAGAAATGGCTGCTGTAAGCCTGGTCTTCCTGGGCCTGGCTTTGACCCATAACACAGCAGGTTTGTACTGAGCACTTGCAGTAAGGAAGGACCAAAATCTGCCTTGGAATCCAATTTTTGTATGACGTTCAGGAGCTTGGCTCTTACAGCTCTTCTCATGAGCTGAAGGGGAATGCAGCTTTGAACCATTTGGGAAGAGAAAGAGATTGAAAATAGTCCCGGGCATGCCTCGGGAACTGAATACAGTTTCTCTCAGAGGCAGTTTGGCAAGCCAGGAATGCAGCATCTGATGATCTCATGGCCCAGTGGTTATATTCACCAGAGTGCCAGGTCTTGTTCACTTGCTCCTACTCAGACTGCTGGGGCACTTCCCCTTCCAGATGAAACTTTTGTTAGTTAAGGGAAGTAAATACCCTTAGTGATTTATTTTAATTTCCTTTTATCATAATATGGGAACAAAACCAAGCCATTAGTGTAAAAGTGCCGAGAAATTAATAATTCTGAGTTTGAGAAGAGCTGGCTCCTGAGTATTCCCACTGAATCTCTCTCTCTTCACCAGCTTCATCTGTGCCATCAATGAAAGGACGTCGGAGCTGTATACGACAGAATTGGAAAACAGAGAAATGGAACTGGAATTGAAAAATCTCATGGAAAAAATAACTACAGCGCTGAAGCTGGAAAGTCAGTTAGAGAAGTGAGTAATGGATGAGAATAGGGAATGTTTAAACATTTTAAGTGTTGCCTCTGATCTCCATAATAAGGAATGTTGGTTGTGATAACTAATAAGGATAACTAAATTTCTTAGCACATCTCTAATTCACAGTATTTTGAAGTATTTATCACAAGCCAAGTGCTATGGATGCATTCAGTAATGAAAAGAGGTTTGGGGTACCATCAAATCCAATAGTTTCAACCAAATACGGTCTACAAGCAGTTTTCAGCTATGGACTGGCATCTTGGACCAGTTGCCTTCATTGGAGGTAGATGCAAACCTGATTCTCTTACCACATTTAGCATGGGCTTTCTAGTCAGAGTGAAGGAGCCAGGCAAAACAAAAACCACTCCCAGGTAAGAATTTCCGTTAGCCAGTGTGTAGGAGACTTCAAAAAACAAGTAATAATTAATAATCAGTATGAAGTCCATTCCCTAGAGGATGTAATACGAAATGCTTTGCCAAGCATAGGAGGATCAGTCCCTGCCTTGAGTGGGGATTGGCCCAGTGATCTCTTCAAGGCTAATTATTTTCTGGGTTTTGTCTTTTAAAAGTAGTAACTGCAATGAAGATACCAGACCTGTGTGCTTTGTGCAGGTTTGCATGGCTCCTCTCTGTGATCTCCAGCTGAGCTTGCCTACCAGGTCTCTTAACCGCATTGAAATTATGCAGAAGACTTACTCTTTGCTTCTATGCAGATGGCTTTCCCCTTGGCCTTTTTCCCCACCCTGGTCTTTGGAATTCTGGATGTAACAGCTGTGATGTGTCCATTGGGAAATCTCACAGGGAAATGCTAGTTTTAATCCATTCTCTCACTTTGCATGTTGGTTGTATTACCGGGTTTAGCTTGAGCATACGTAACTAAGCAATACTTGTATACTGGTATCTCTTTGAAAATAAAAGTTTGATGGTTTTTGTATTTTTTTTTTTTTTTTAAGGGATCTTAAAAATACACAGGAACTTATCACAGTAAAAAAGGCCAAAGTTGATCGCAGATCCCAGGACTTGCAGTTCCTGAAACTCAAATGCCAAGAGTTAAAGAGAAGGATCGAGGCTGCTGAGGTAGATGGAAAGAATTTTCCATGGCGCAGTCATGGTTGGTTGAGCCCAAAACTGTAGTTGCAGAGAGATCCCAGCAGGACTGAGGATTCTTGGACTAACAGGACAACATGATACTATACTTAAGTTGTTTCTCCTATACTCGTGGTCTCTCCCCAGGACATCCTATGATAAATGCAAGGGCACTTTCTCTTTCATTGAGAACTGTATAGCTGGGCCTACCACATGCTTATTGTGAGGTGCTGTCACCCAAGAGTATACACATAGCTACCAGTAAAGCAGTTGATCCACAGAGGTAAACTGTGTGTCAAAATTCTGAATATATAATTTTTTAAAATTAATGATTAAACAGAGAAGGCAGAAATTGTACTGTCTTTTTCACATGATGAAGGATATGTGAGTACTTTATTTAACACTTGGATGCTGTCCAGGACCTTAAGAAAGATGAGATGGAAAATATTGTATTAGAGTTGATGACATTTTCATAGAATCACAGGCTGATTTGGGTTGGAAGGGACCTTAAAGCTCATCAAGTTCCAACCTCCTGTTGGAACTAGACACCTTCCACTAGCCCAGATTGCTCAAAGTCCTATCCAGCCTGGCCTTGAACACATGCAGAGATACCTATTCCCAGCCTTGCCATGTGCTCTTAAACCAGTACTTTCCTGGAAAGACTTGCTATTCTTGATACAAATTTTAGTAGCAATTTATCTCATATGCCAGCTATAGCCATGATTCACATAGCGCACGTTTCTGTTTTTGACAGATTGCGTTCTTGTTTGGCTCTTTAGCTCAAAACCCAAGGAAATGGTAAAATCTCCTCCCTGTTGTATTTTGTGTCAGTTACGAAGGAACTCTTTCCTGTTTGTAGATGGAGCTTGCTGCCACGGGTTTTGATGAGTCACTGTCACACAAGTCGCTGGTGAGCCTGTCTGAGGTAGGTCTGCTGGTACATGATGGATGTTTTACAGTGGCACAGACTAGGCATCTTTGTTGAGTGGTTTCAGGAAATGCAGTTTGTTAATTGGTTACTCCAACAAATATTAAAGGTAAAAAGAAGCACAAATAAGAATCCCATGGATGGCTATCTCTGAACTGGGGTATGTTGGGTGGGTTTGTCTCTCCTAGAAACTGAGAACCATCTATGGGTGCTGAAGTGGTACCATTTCTTCAGGGTTAGATGTGGGGTTATTTTGGATGCAGTAAGAAGCTTTCCTTCAAACACTTCAGAGCGACTGGAGGAAGTCAAGTGAAACGCAAATGCTGAACCACCGTGTGCTTTTTTTTTCCCCTTGTGTCTTTAAATATAAATGTTATATATTTTTAAT